AATAATTATTGGTTTAAATATAGCTGTTTTGCCACTTTTTGACCCGTGATAGTTTATTGACCTATTAAAATTAATATCATAAATTTTCCTCTATTATTATTATATGTAACAATTACTATTAGTTTTTTCTAGATATAAATAACAGTAAAAATAAATAAAGTCAATAGCTACCATTGTGGTTATTAAATATATTTAATAATATTATTATTCTGGAACACATTCTAATTATTTTATATATTTAAATATATGAATTTTATACCCACAATCCAGGACCGCTCCTTAAATAACAGAAAACTGACAAATTTAATAGCCCATATATTTGTAAGTAAACATAGTTTTTTACTTTTGATTTACATAGGTTGATATAAAATTTTTTTTATGTAACATAATAAATGCATGACTTTCTATGGGGGCGAAAAATCGATTACTATTATTATTACTATGAAATTTAAAAATTTTGCCCAGATCGGCATTAATTAAATCCTTTCCTTAACTGGTGGATCACGAATTAATGTGTACACGTCAATCATCTAACAAACTTTTTTTTCTCTAAAAAATAAAAACATGCCTCCAAAAAGGAAATTCCATCAAAGGAGCAAAGAAAAAGAAATTGGTGATGAAAATGGGTAAGTGTTTTAAGGATGGTGGTGGTGGTGGTGGTGGTTATTGCCCGCCACTCGTCGTCACTCTAGTTTTAAAAAAAGAATGGTGGTGATGGTTGCAATCACTGTCATTCATCATTCCAATTTTTATTTATTATTTATTTATTATTTAGTCATTCACCATTATTACCATTACCATTACCATCACAAGTAAGTAAATTATATTCTAAATGAGCAAGACCTTTTTTATGTAATTAACGAAACTGAATCAAAATTTTTTATAGTGCAACAATGCTCATTCTAAGTCATTATCATCAGGTATATTCTTCTTTCTAAGATTTTTTTCAATATTATCAGCAATATAATTAAAATATTCTTTGTTTCTTTCAGCAGATATGACAGTAAAATGCATCGTTTATTATATTAAAACAAAGAAGACATTCCTTTTCAAGACTTCTTGGCCACTTTTGGAGTTGCAAAAAAAGATAAAAGAATGTTTTGATGACCTTCTTGAAGATATTGAACTAGAGTATATTCAAATTGTACCCAATGGTGCTGATTACAAAATTGATGATAATGAATTTTTATCTGAATTGTGGGATTTGGCTAAGAAAGATAATTCCAGGCATTCGTGTATAACCTTTGGTGTTGTGACAAGTAAATAATATTTCTTGACTTTATATAATAACTGAAATCAGATTCCTTACTTAATAGAGACTTTTCTTCTAGCTCAACAAGATTTTTCATCTTACAAGTCATTGAGTAAAGTTTTGCGAACATTTGGAATAAATGATATTTCATCATTAGTAGACATTCCTCAATTTACATTGGGCAAGTATGAATGTTATTATGAATTATTTGTTGATGCTTTACTAGTTTCCATTGGGAAATTTAAATTATTGTCTTAAAGAGAGAGCTGTAAATTGTTTAATGTTTAATTAACATGACAATATTTATTTAAAGATGACATAGAAGTTAACATCGAAAACAAAACAATAAAAGCACTTTTTAAAGAAATAAAAGTATGTAACTACTGAAGAATACAAACTATATAAACTCAAAAAAAAAAATAACTAAGTATATGTATATTCCATATAGATACGATTAAAAGCTTGTGGTCCTGTTATAGGTGGTCATGCAAATGAGGCTTTAAGATCTGAATTTATTTCACCATTTATGAATCATGCTGTGGCAGAGTCTAAAGAAGGTACCAAATTAAGACCACAAAAGAGAATTTCTGGCACCTATGGTAAAGGATTCGTTGACTATGCAATATGCTATAAATCATCTGTTATATGCATTACGGAGGCTAAAACCAATGAACTCGAGATTGGTCTCACCCAAAACCTAAAACAACTACAAGCAGCTGCTCAGGTAAATGTGTTCATGCATAACAAAATGTTTTTTGATCGCATGTCTAATTCTTATTGTAAAAAATTTTAAAAATTACAGATGAATATTAAAAAATGCAAATCACCAGATTCTTCAGAAGCTCTGTATGGAATTGTAACTACAGGAGTTGAATGGCTGTTTGTTTTATTTTCTGTGTGTTTAGACAAAATTAACATTGCTGCTACCTCAAGATCAATCCTAAGGCTCAATGTTGACATGGAGAATGTTAATCTTGATGAACTTAGTGATCAAGTGGTCAAAATATATACAACGATAAAATCATTGCTGACCGATCAAGTTAGAATCAATGATAAAATTGAGGAAAATATGTTAAGTCCAGACGAAAAAAGAGAAATATTTTGCAAAAAGATAAAATTGCAATGAAAAATGAAAATTTTTTTTATCTTCTAATTGCAATCCTCATTTGGTTGGTTACGTTATTCCAGGTAATGATGAAAATGCTAAGTCAATTTCTTTTTTTGCTAATCTGGTATCATTCCTTTTATGACATTCATTCTTTCTATAAAATTAATATTCTCAAATTTGTATGTTTATTTTCAATGAATATTCTTAAATTAACAAATGTTACATGTGCATGATATTTGTATGTAAACAATGAATACTATATTAAACAACACTTAATGAATACTTATAATCTCACCTTATGTTTGAACATTATATTTTGTTTTCTATTCTAAATTTAATTGAGTGTCTTGTCTTTCTATTATGCCCAAATTAAAGAGACACCTATACAGCAGGCTTTGGTCTTTTATTTGCATTAAAATTTTTGTGTACAAAAGGTCATTTATTTACGGGATGCTAGAAAAGCAGGTTAACATAGTAAATTTGCTAAAATTGTGCAACTTTGAGACTTAATCCCTCCATTACATCATGACATATCAACAAAATGATGTGACTTTGTAGAGAAAGGTCTTAGCTTCAAAATCACATCTTGTTTTTTGGTCATGTGCACTATATAATTAACAGGATTAATGAGATACTATATAGTTATTTAATGAATTTTTTTTTCTTTACACAAACAATCATTATTGATGTTTTTGACGCAGACCATCTACACCCAATAAGCCAATTATTCAACTGAAACTAAAACAATTATACTCTCAATTTGCGTTCACAAAAAGAGTAAAGATTGCTTGTGACAAAGAGAAAGAAAACCAGTATCAGAGTGACAATAATGGAAATAAAGTCCTGGCTGAGTTGAAAAATATAAAGAATCATGATGACCATAATGATCAAAATCAAGTTGTCGCTGTAGATTTGCATGAATAGCTGGAAAACATTCTGAAAGTAAATGACTATCTTTGAGAAATAATTACTAAACATTTGCTTATATATTGGACCTTTTTTCCTATTGTTTTTATAGTTTTCGATAGAGGAAATCAGGATACAGATTTTAAGCCCATATATTGCAAAAAACGAATTTGAAAACACTATGATTAAATATATCGGAAAGGTGTTGATGGACTTGTAAGTTAATTTTTAATAATAGTATTTATAATGTTATTCTAATTCATGTGTCATACTAATAATCAATTTATTATTAGCATCCACAAAATAATTGATGTGTCCAGCTATATTATGCATATTGATACTGTTGAAAGAGATTGGATTGTTAACAAAATATCTCCATTGTTTATTTATCTCGAGGCAACATTATTAATAAAATACAATTTCACTGGTAATTGGTATTTTTTAAGATTTTTTTTGTAACTTATAAATGTAATTACTTATGTACTCAAACATATAGGATTGAATAGATATTGAACCTACACATCAACATCTTGTTATTGAAGACAATACATCAAACAAAGACCAATAAAAGCTGATATAGTTGGTGTCCGATTGTCAGATAATCATCAGGTTATATTTTTAGAAATGAGTGGAGCTCCTACTGATTTTTTAAAAAATCATCCAATCAGTGATGCAAATAAAACACTCCAGGAACGAATGGACTCCTTAAATTCTGTTCTCTTAAATTTCCTTTGCTATGATGTTAGGTTTGTATGGAAAGTTCATTCTTTAAGTATTCAAGGAATAAGTGAGTATTATTTTTTGATTGCTGCTTAAATTAAAAGTAGATCACCATTCATATCTTTTTGTTTATTATGTGGTAAGGGGATCGCCACACATTAAGGTGATTATCCTTAAGAGGGAAAGATGACTATGTTGATGAAGAAATATTATCAGCAGTTTTTCCACTTAGCTGGGATTTCCACTTCTGATTTCATGAAATATTTAACATGATGGAATACATAATACTATCTGTCATGGAATATTCCAATGTCATAAAAGAGTTGATAAAGCACCCAGCAGATTCACAAGAATTTTCTATTCGATACTGTATCACTTATAAATAGATAACTTGGTCAACAGTTATTCATTAACAACTTTGGAATATTAGAAATTTTATTATAAAAAAAAAATAAACTGAGAATCTTTTCTCTTATTACATTTATACTAATTGCAAAATTGGTAACCTCCTCAATCACTGACTCAAGTAGAATAATAATATATTTATTTAATAATTTTTAAATTTTGATCATGACTCAGGGTATAGGAAGCATCTATTAATGTAAATGATTTCCCGCTCAAAGGAATTTACAAGAGTATTTAAAGTTTACTTGGTAAGATCCAATTCTTGGATATGGGTTTTCGTAATACTTGAGTTGATCCCATGCTAAAATTGAGATCGCCTCTATGAAAGAGTTTATATTTTTCGTAGCTAATCGCGAAACCACATATATTTTATTACATAAGTAAAAAATAACTATTTATTAACCATCTAAAGTCCACACTCTCTATAATGAACCTCTCTATAATGAGCACTAAGTAAAATCTCTCTATAACAAACTTCACTTTTGTCCCTGATTCAATGTTTTATAATTAATTTCTCTCTCTATAACGAACATCTTAGTAAACTCCCCCTATAATGAACAAAAGCAGAAAAATTACATATAGGGGCGAAGGGTTCATTATAGAGAGAGTGGACTGTAGTTGCTATTAAAAAAAGTGTATTTTTTAAAAAAAAAATAGTGCCAGTTACAATGCAATCATTGCAACTCGATCTTTACTGAATTTTTGGAATTGTGATGTTAAACAAATTATTAATCCCTGAAATTCTTGGTAATACCAATATTCACTTTGTCTGGTTTTGTTGCAGTATGTCCCAATTAAGAAATTTGGATATGCACAATTCAATCTTTGGACTTGATTTTTTTTTTACATAATAATAATTGATGCAATATTAAGTTCTAATTTCCAAGTTTTAAATATTTATTTTAGAATTTGTTTATAGAAAAGTATTAATTTTTTTTATAATGAAACATTTTACCTAAATTGACATAATAATATATCACTGGATGAATTAGAAAGTTGTATCAAGCAAATTTATTAACTTTGTGATATTTACTTAATATTTTCAAACAAAAATGAATTTGTATAATGGACTTCTTTCAAGGATGGCTATTAACAAAATGTCAGTTAACTTGAAGAAAAGAAAGATTTGTTGATTTTTGATTAAAGTTTCATTAATGATCAGTATATAAAATTCAATGTGAGTGTAACATCATACATTAGTAGTTTTCTGCAGATAGTTCCTAAATTTATAAAAATCTGCACTGAAATTTATACACTGTTAATGATTATTAACAGTTTTAATTATACATATATATATATATTTAGTATATATAGTATATCACTTTGCAAGTTACATAGATCTTGCTTTTAACACTTCAGTCAACTGCTATATAACTATGAATAACTGACAAAATATTCAGCAAGTATAACGATTTAGAAATACTTTTATTTATATATTTAATAAATAATATTAATAATAAGCACAAATTATACTTGCATGAAAAAAGTTGTTGAGTTTTATGGTAATTTTATGATTATAATTTGAAGCTATTGATTATTTTTTGATAGGCTTGTAAAGCAGTTAAAAATAAACGTAATACATAATTTTGGAGGTTATATGGACATTTATTTAATAAAGCCTTCACCAAGTTTTCTTTGTAAAAAAGCATTATTCTTAATTTTCAAAGAAAAGATCTGCATAAAAAAATTTTTTCTAAAGATTTCTAGATTATCTGTATTATTACAGTATTTAGAAATTCCATATTTGGTAATAACCCTGACCATATTAATGATTATTCAAAGCAAAATACCAATCATTGACCATCTTAATAAGGATTTTATAATTACCCAGCAAAGATCTACTCCATATTTTGATCAAATAAAATATTTATAATAGCTAAAAAAAAAGTACTTATTAACATGTCTTCTTTAGGAGACCTGCATTTTGTCATCTTTAAAAAATAAGATTGTTTTTCCAAAAAAAAAAAAACAATTATGTCAAAAAAAAAGTCTCTGTACAACACCAATTGCCAATAATAATATATAACATGATTCTTCTTTTTTTTTCAACATAACTCTTTTAAAATGTCACTGTTTCAAAGAATACAAAAAAAAAAGAAAACAAGAAAATGAACTGGTCGAAAGAGGGTAAGGGTTTATTATAAGAATGGTGGTTATTTTCACTCTGAATCTTTATTGGATGATTAAACATCATAATACTCATATTTCAGCAGTGTAAATTCTATTTTATATATAAGCCATTGTCTGAAAGAGATGTTGATATTAAAATTTTAAAACCATTTTTCAATAATATTGAAAATTTAAATAAAACTGGATTACATTATCATTAGTAAATATCATTTATCCATCATTTTTTAAAATCTTTGTATTGGATTAAATTTACAATTTCTTCTATTTTAATCATTGCAAGCAGGGAATGTGGATCATTTGCTTTGCATTTGAGACAAGATATTGTCATTGAAGGTTCTTATGGGAAGAAATCAGATTATCAATTCATATATGATTCATGGAGTTTAACAGTGTATAAATTTCACTGATCAATTTTTGTGTATGTTGCACAAATTTTTTTGAGGATTTGTGCATTGTTTAATAGTTTAATTTTTTTGATTTTTTTTGTGCAATATATATATATAGAAAAATGTAATAGTGCACAAATTTTCCATTGAATTTGCATAAAAATTTTTTTCTCATTGTGCACTGTACACATGAATTTTATACATTGGAGTTTACATGATGCTTTCATAATATGTAAACAAAAAAATTTTTTAAAAAACCCAATTATAATAATTGAAATAAATACTATAGAACTTGCTCTATCAGAATTTTATAATCTGTTAATCTCTTCAAATATACTTCTATTAAAAATTGAGGAAATTATGTATCAAGGAGTTGGCTTTTTTCCTTTTTTTCCCAATTCTAGTGAATGAAACATCAAAACCAACTGCCAATATTTTACCATGTTTATTTGCTTGCTCAAAGATATCCTGGGAGCAATTTGAAGCCATGCAAATTAAAAATGATCAATCTTGGAGACATGCATCAAGATCAACAGCAAATAAATGTTTTTGAAGTCTTTTATATATATTATCATATTCATATAAAGAAAGCCTTTTGCTTAGGGTTTCCCTAAATTATCTTCACTATTTTTAAGAATCAACTACTGGCTTTTATTTAACTTTTTTTTGTAGTTTCAATCATATTAGTATTAGAACTATTTACTTATTTTTACTACATAAAATTTGGATAAATTTATTTACATGCTCTCTCTATAATGAACCTTATGTAATTTGTTTGCTATGTTTGTTATAGAGAGTGTTTACTAGAGTCCTGAATTGGGTTGGGTCCCATGTTTTAACCCAACCTGAACTGAAAGTTAGGTTCGGGTTGTGCGGGTTTGGTCTTAGCATCAAACAATTTCAGGTTGGGTTTTGGTTGTAATTTATACAATGCAGATCATCTATAATCATTAATTGCTTATCCCTTAAACGATTTTTAGACCAAATATGGTCTAAATTTACAATTGTGACTCAAAAATTATAAAAAAAGATATTTTCCTGTGGTCTCACCACAATCTTTCTTATTTCATAAATGATATTCAAAACCCCATACTTCTATTAAAAAAAATTATTTGGGAGTTACATATAACAGGTAAGAAAATAATATGTGTAAAATGTAAAAATACCCATTTTTTTGTTATGAAAATTTTCTTGCAGATCACGTTTTTTGATATACAAAGTTTATATCTCCTTCACTAAAATTATTAGCTAGTATGTAAACACTACTAATAGAACTTGTTAGGCAGATCAAATTACATAATTTATGTCTAAGAACCATAGGTCTAGTATCAATAATTAAAATTTTCCATATAGTGAACTTTTCAAAAAAAAATTTTTAAAAAAAATACAAATGTTTCTTTACTTATAAAAAACCTTAAATATAATTCCAATATGTACAATTTTTTTAAAATAAATTTTTCAAAATTTATGTTAATTGAAATGTAAAAATATTCGGGTTTATTAGTAGTATTTTAATTTAAAGAGGGATTGAATTTACTCGGAAGATCTACACAAATTTGGAACCAAAAATCCCTGTACATATTAAAATGAAAACTTGTATTGTAAACTGGATTTTTTTTTTAAGTAAACTTGTTTATTAAAAATATTATTTTTACATAGTTTACGGTTTAGACCAAATAATCAATGAGTAAAAACTTTTTCTAATCATAACTATTAAAAAAAATTAAAAATCGGGATTTTTTTACAATACACCTTTTTTTCACCCCTCCTTGACCAAACTTTTATGAGAAGAAGATCCACATTGCCTAATATAACACCATCATCACCACCTCCACCTGTACACACATCATCATCATCGTCATCATCATCATCAATGATTAAACCAATATCACCCACTTCATCAATGACTGAATCTACAACAGGATCTTTTTCAACAAATTTAATTTCTGACGACGAAGATGACAAAGAATCAATTAGATCTATACCTCCAAATACTACTAACGTCGCCAACAATATCACAAATACTGCCACTGCTTCTAATATTTCATCATCGTCACCATATTTTGTAGAAAATTTCCATAAAAATAATAAAAAATCATTTGCTAAAAGTCGACGACCAGCTCCCCTTTCATCAATTCAGTATAATTCTCGTACTGTAAATTTTCGTCCAACATTAACTAATGATGCATCAAATAATAATGATAATAATAATGATGGTAATGACTATTCACCTCCTAATACCATAGCCACTGCTGTTACTACACCTGTCACTTCTACTGTTAATTATAACACCTATGTTACCCCAAGAAGAACTGCTTCAAATCCTGGTAATGGTCTACGAAAAAATAATTCATTACGCTTCTTCAATAATTATTCACAGTCTTTGCCATCACAAAGTTTCACTCAATATCTGTCACAAATACCAGGAACCCCAACCACACCATGGACGAGTAATAGCTTACCATCGCCTTTGAGTAGCCCAAGATCCAGTGTTACACCTACAGGAACTTTTAAGAATGATATAACGTCTAAAAATATGGATCTAGGATATGCATCGTGCTTATTAAATCCTTTATATAATCCATTATTTTACGAAAAAGAAGAAGAAACTTCAAATATGGTAGAATATGGATTGCCAGAATTACCACCAAATGATATACATTTAAAACCTTTTTGGTTGATGAGATTATTGGAACGAACCATGACCACTGGTGGATATTTAACACCAAAATTATATATTCCAAGACATTTATGGTTGCAAGGACATGCAAAACTTAATGCATTGGAAACTAAAATTTCTAGTTGTGATGTTGTTTTAAATTGTTTGCTAAGATTGACAAAATCTTCGATTAACGATATGGATGCTTTAGCAAAGGTAAATTAATATCTTTCAAAAACAAAAATAAAATAAAATAAAATAAACTTTTTATTAAACTATTTAAAATTTATTCAGGAATTAGAAGGTATTGACCTTATACTTGATGGATTACAAAACTCGCTGGCACGTAAAATAAGTTATATAGAGTCTACAACTGGTAAAGGTAAACAGAGTGCCAGTTCACTGATGAGTTGGGGATCCAAATTATCACGTGGACTTGATCGAATGGGTATGAGTAATGCCATGATTCGTAGTGAAGAAGCTAACGGATATGTTGATGTGCTATTAAAATTATTTCAAAATGTTGATATAGTAGGTCAGTGATAAATAAGAGTCAAAATTTTATTATTTTGTTTTTTATTTTAAATGTAAATATTTTTTTTTTCCGATAAATTTAGAAAAACATATTTGTCATTTCTCATCATTGAAAGCACCATATCATCATCATCATACACAAATCGTTATTCGACTTTTTAAATTTTCAGATTTTTTTGGAAATGTAATATGTAGATTTGTCGTAAGAGATTTGGGTATATTGGCAGATAAATATGTAAAAAAAGGAAGTCATTGGGTTATTGATTGATTGATCGATCGATGGATGAGTGGGTGAATGAATGAATCGGTGACCTTTGGACCAATCGATCGATTATTGGATTGGGTGTTGGACATTTTGGTAATCATCGGTTAACTATTTAAATTGTTAATTAATTAATTAATTAGCTAACCAAAAAAAAGTAATAGATAAAAATTGTTCTTTTTTTAAAAAAAAAAATATAGATAAAAAATTATTTCTTAAATAATTATATAAATATATCTTTATAATAAATTTTTAAAATTTTTGTTTTAAATATATATATTATTTCATTATTAACATTTGTATAGAATATTTATTTTAGTCATTAATTATATTTGCAGAATCGATTTCCTAGTTTTAATTTTAGAAACATCTAATTTAATTTTATTTAATTGTATTTTTTTTAATTATAATTTGTTAATTATTAATTATTAATGTTATTATATATATATATATTATTTTAATGAATTAGTGATTTATATATATATACGTATATAGGTATATAAAATATAATTTTTGTTATATAACTAATGTATGTGAAGATTGAAAAATTGTTCATTTAAAAATTCATAAAATTTTTTTAATCGACGAAATGAGATCGCTGCCATTCTTTTTCTCTTCAATGTCATTTATCCAACTAACCACTCTTTCACAACTACGACGAAAATCATAAGCTTTAGGAACGGTCCCAATTTCAATAAATTGATTTGTTTGTTGAATTCCAAATGTTAATTTGTCCCTGATCTGAGCACATGATAGCTCTAATAGTTTTGGTGCTTCGTCATGAACCCATAAAGGAAACATGGATTGTTCAATAGTATTCATGGTGATTAATCTAATTACTGGCAGATTGTTGTTGCATCTAGATTCACATAAGTGTTTCTTTGTGTTAAATCTTGGATCATAGGCTATTACAAAATTAAAATGTTGCTATTATAAAAAATACATACATTAGAAAATTTTATTAACATAGATAATTAATTCATTCACTAAATATATATATATTGTCATAACTTACACATTCAAGTGACTTGACTTCATCTGTAACAAATATATAAAAAATCATTTTATCATTCACTTTCTTATTCTCATAATTGCGATTATAAAGCATACATTGGAATCCTTCTCGCCTCAAAAAATCACTCATAATATCCTACACACAAAAATCAACAAAAAAAAAATTTTTAAACATTAATTGAATAAAATAATTGAAAAATAAAATAAAATTTTTACCATCATTTTCAAAACAGGAACTGAAATTCCTATTCTAAAGTTTATTTCCAAATCTTTTAAAATACTTAAAAAGTATTTCAAAACAATCAATTTACCACATTGGTTTTCATTTCTAAACCAATTATGCAATGTTGATGATAAATCTGACGAGATATAAAGAGAAACATGGTTAAGAACAGATAATAATGAATTATGCACACTCAATATCAAAGATCTGGCTTCTGGTCTTTCTAGATACTCTGATTCGTTTAAACACTCGTATAATTCCGGATTACTGATTATTTTATGATAGATCTTTTGCTGTAAATATGTTATTGTTGTAGGTATCGAAACGTTATAATTTAATAAATTTGCTGGACTTTTATTGAATTGATCACAGTGTAACAAACTATTCGTATTCTTAGTATAGCTATTAATATTTTCCTCCACCTCTATCTCATCATCATCATCATCATCATCATCGACATCATCATTGGTCGTTTGCTTCGTCTTAAAATATGAATTTTGTCTCATAGGAAACGTTTTTATTTTTATATTTGATGATTTTATAGGCCCCACTTTTCCGACATTAACGTTATTATCATCTTCACTACTGTAGTCAATATTCAACCTGCACGTTTCTCTTTTCCTTTTATTATTAGGAGTTGTTGTTGTTTTAAAACTACTACTATCACTAAAATTGTTAAGAGTTGGTGATCTCCCTTTCTTCTCATTATCATCAACAGTAGTAGTAGTAGCAGGCTTTGTTTCTTCCCAGTGTTTAATTAATTCAGCATTACAAAAGCTTTCTGGTTCCTATTAAAAATTATTAAAAATAAGATAAACGATATACATATAAAAATAAACGTTTATCATATTTAGAATATTTGTTACCCATGTTGACGCCCATTTTCTTCCATGATCGTCTGTACCCTCCCATCTAACCAAAAAGTATTTTTTACCTTTCTCTACTTTCTCGTTAAGTATACGATCAGCTTCATAGTATATAACTTTTTGCGCTGAATTCTTTCTTGGCATAATTATTATTGTTGTTTTTTTCTTTCTCTTCTATAAAAAATTGATGATGGATGAACCAGAAATTCTGATTTTCTTCCCAAAATGGAAAATCATCACAAAAACATTATCACATGATAAGGGGGACGCGTCTATACTATATTTATATAATAATAGGTAGGTGCCAGCCGGCCAAGGCGCAAAATGCCAATTACAATTACAATTGAAATTTTACCGGAAGCAATAGATTTTCCGGTCGTAGGTCATCATGCAATTAAAATAGTAATGTAAAAAAATCTACTAATATATATTAATATTTTTTTTAAAACGACGTAATCTTGTCGTGACATTTATTAATTTAAAAATATGTAATACATATAAAAAATTTAAATTATTTACAATGCACAACTCCCCCTTTTTTACCATAGAATGATATTAATATTAATTATTTATCAATTTGTAAAGGTCACGCCACGTGATTAATGATTTTTCTACCAAAAGCTACATTTTAAAAGAATTCCAAAGAAAAAAGAACTGCAATAATAATAAAATGGGGCATACTGCAAAACCAGACAAAGCAAACATTGGTATTACTATCGTTAGTGTCACTATTTATTACTAATCTAGTCAAAATAGGAACATTCAACAAGCTGAAGTAATTCAGAATAAAATAACAAGTCTATAAATGAATGCAATGTGAGCATGTGACACACTTTTTTCTCTGTATATATAAGAATTATTTGTATGAAAATCAATATTACTATTAAATTAGAGATTGGAATCTTTGACTGATTAATTGGTCAAAAAATGATTGATTGAAAAATATTAATTGATTAATTAGAACTTTTTGTTTTAATTATTCTTTTTAGGAAGTAAACAATGATTATTTTGTTAACATTTAAGACTGTTTTAGTTGTAATGAACAAACATTTTGATGATTAGTAAAGGTTTCAGTTAGTTCAAAAAATATATAATGGTTGCATTCTCTTCTTTTTGCTTTTAAAATTTTTAAAAATAAATTGTTCTAATAAATAAATGATAAGTTATATCGGATAACCTATATTAAGTCAATTAGCTGGAAAATTTTTGGTGATTCCATCAACTTTAGTGGCTGGCGAAAGATTATTTAGTGATATTGGTAATAATATTACTACTGATTTAAGGGTAGGGGGGATCGCATGTCAATTTATATGTGGATTGGCAGCTCAAAAATCTGAATTATACAAGTTGCATAATAAAAGTTGTTATTAATCTAAAAAAAAATTTGTCTCAAATTTTCTTTTCTAAATGCAACAATAATTTTCGTGTTACAATATTTTGAATCTCACGACCCAATTTGGTAATGATTTTTTAATGTAATATGTTCGTTAAACTTTTTGTTGTAAAGAACTTTTATTTATTAATAAAAAATAAAAAAATCAAATAAATCAAATGTATGTTGTAGAAAATATTATATGAAAAAAGTTGTTACACGAAATTTACTTAGTCTCAGTTTCTTAAGTGTATAACAAAATTTGGAATTTTCAAAATGCTAAGGCTCAGCCAATTTTCAGTTTAAGAAAAAACCAGTTGATAAGTTTGAAGCTTGAGTCATGAACAATAAAACTTATTGGTTAAATTTTTTTTTTTGTTTTAGTATTTTGAAGTTGACCAATTGTTACTATCCCTTAAACGAACAAAAATTTAGACCATATTTGGTCTAAAATTTCAAATTTTTGTAGACCCATTCTAAACAACAAGTTATCATTTGTTCCCCATTTTTTTTTTGATTTCTAAATAGACAAAAAGGTATGGTTTATGCATATAAACCATTTTATTTGATTGATATTTTGGGGGAGGGTTTAATTAGTGTGAAAAAAAGGTGTATTGTAAAAAAATCCCGATTTTTAATTTTTTTTAATAGTTATTAGAAAAAGTTTTTACTCATTGATTATTTGGTCTAAACCGTAAACTATGTAAAAATACTATTTTTAATAAACAAGTTAAAAAAAAAAATCCAGTTTCAATACAAGTTTTCATTTTAATATGTACAGGGATTTTTGGTTCCAAATTTGTGTAGATCTTCCGAGTAAATTCAATCCCTCTTTAAATTAAAATACTACTAATAAACCCGAATATTTTTACATTTCAATTAACATAAATTTTGAAAAATTTATTTTAAAAAAATTGTACATATTGGAATTATATTTAAGGTTTTTTATAAGTAAAGAAACATTTGTATTTTTTTTAAAAATTTTTTTTTGAAAAGTTCACTATATGGAAAATTTTAATTATTGATACTAGACCTATGGTTCTTAGACATAAATCATGTAATTTGATCTGCCTAACAAGTTCTATTAGTAGTGTTTACATGCTAGCTAATAATTTTAGTGAAGGAGATATAAACTTTATATATCAAAATTTTCATTACAAAAAAATGGGTATTTTTACATTTTACACACATTATTTTCTTACCTGTTATATGTAACCCCCAAATAAATTTTTTTAATAGAAGTATGGGGTTTTGAATATCATTTATGAAATAAGAAATATAATTTTTGAGTCGCAATTGTCTAAAAATCGTTTAAGGGATACTACATGTATATTTAAAAATCTAACATTATTAAAATGAGAGGACCAATAATAAAATAGTAATAATAATATTATTATTACTAATAAAATGAATCCAAGACAAAAAGCAAATTTTGCTACAACTTCAAGACTTTTAAAATGTATAATTAACGAGGGCTTGGCAAATGCTTATTATTACAACAACATTAATAACAGCAATGACAACGATGACATTGATGATACTGAATTAAATAATTCTTCTTTTTCTCCTCCTTCTACATATCATAATCATAACCATTCTCCCTTGTTATTTATAAATAATAAAATAAAAAATTCAAGAATGGTTTTTATTTTACCATCATCAACAACGAAACCATTATCTTTCCCTACAACAACGTCAACGTCGACACCAACATCAACACCAACATCAACACCAACATCATCAACTTCAACTTCAACTTCTTCACCAACAATCATAGCAACTGCAAAAATTAATTACGTGATTGTAGTTTTAGTTTCTCATAAACCAATTGTTAATGATGATGATAATATTGCAAAGGTGGAATTTATTGATCCTTGGGATATGATAGCCCCTGTTTATAAAATTCAATTTGTTGATATTTATGGAGATGATCAACCCAAATCACTTTTATCCTATTGTTTGAAATCTTTATATTTAGCAGAAGAGATCGAGGCACCAGATTTAATGAAATTGATTGGAATATGGCTAAATTTAAATAATAAGATTGTTGATGAGATTTGCGATGAATTAAATAGTTCTGTTTTATATCAAGGTGTAACTTGTAATCTTTTCACTTAAACAATAATGATAGTATTGGTGATGATAATAATATATATTTATTTATTATATATTTAAATATATTAGAATATACATATAAAAGTACACGTCCAAAACCATCTTTACTTTCCACAAGTTTGGAATGGGAGCATAGTATAATTGAAGGGCATCCAACTCACCCGGTATTGATTATTTAATATTATATTACTATTATTATTAACATAATAAAATGTAATATATTTATAAGATCCTATAAAAAAAATTTAAAAAAAGATGCATAAATCACGAAAGGCAGTTCCGCCAATCCCACCAATTCCACCATCAACTTACAACTTTGATAGGCCAATGATTCGGTTTGTCTCTGTGCCCATTGATAGGGTATCAATATGTGGACCAATTCAAGAATTTTTAAATCAACTTTATGATATAATGAATCCAAAACCTGTGGTTCCAACAAATCAAATTCTAATACCAGTTCATGAATTACAACTACCAAACATTCTAGAAAAATTTCCTTACATTACTATTCTAGATTCATCTTACTCGATCCAAGCCATCAGTCAAGTTTCTCTTAGAACAGTAGTTTTTCCAAAACTTTTGGGGTTTTCTTATAAACTATCTTTAGGAATTAAAGTCACTTCAGCTCTACGTACAATTTCACCTTGGACTACACATATTGGTGTAGGTCTTTGTAACGTGTTTGATAAATTGGAGATCGACCAAAATATATTAAAAATTTCCAAAGAAATTGCTAGTATTGTTTCAAACGAAAAAGATTTTGACGTTGCGAAACATTTAAGCTGTATTATTAGATCGGATATAGGTAACTATGATTCTGCGGATGATAGTGGTGGTAGCAGTATTGATGACAAAGAAAAAATTATTATTTGTGCTGCTTTAACTGAAAAAGATGAAAATGGTAAAATTGTTGTGGAAAAGGTTTTTGAATTGAATACAGAGGAGAAACGTATTAAATTTTTAGAAAGGTATAAATTTATCGATATATATTTGATATATATATATATATATATTAATCATTTATTTAATTAATCCGATTTTTTAGATATTCTAATCTTTTGTTTAAAGCTTTCTTGCCAACAGCAATGCACAATGGTTTTGCATTTGAAGCACACCCACAAAATGTTTTGGCACGTTTTAATTCAACTGGCGATCAATTACTTGGATTTGTTATAAGAGATTTTGGTGGTGTTAGATTTCATCAAGAAACAATAATAAAATCCATAGGTCAACCAATTGATGTATTAGAAGGAAGTGTTACTCTAGCCAAAGATCTACAAACGGTAATTATTCAATTTTTGTAGATTAAAACAAATTATTTTTCTTACTATATACATATTATTTTTTGTAGGTTTATGATAAACTATATCATACATTGATAATGTGTCATATTCATCGTTTAATAAGATCATTAGATTTACATTATTCGGGAATTGGATGGAAAATCATACGTGAGCAACTTTCCGCAATGATACCAAGAAATCATTTACTTTGGGAATTATGGATGAGGAATGATAAAATTAATTCAAAATGTTTCCTAAGAATGAAATGCGAATCATTATATCGTGATGTAATTTATTTAATTTATTTATTTTTATTTTTTTAATTATTAAATGTTCAACTTTAATATTTATTTATTTGTTTGTTTATATTTGCATATCTGCATATTTAGTATATCCTAAGACCAAATCCAAATTTAATATTATATAAATCTGAAGAGGCCAAATAAGCAATGAGTAAATTGAAAATTTAATTTTTAAAAATAGTAAAGTAATAAAGTTATAAATGGGGCCATTCTCCAGAGATTATTTAAGAACTTTTTAGCTTAGCAACTATATCCATTTGCTCTTTTTTATTGATTTCAAACTCGATAAGCTTATCAATTATTCTTTGAATAATACAGACTACCAAAATACTCTTTAGGTCTTCATTCATAGCTTTTGAAAAACTTTTAAATATATATCAATCTCGCCATTTTCAGCATCCTTTACCTCGGAACACTAATTGACAGAAATAATATTTTAATTGATGATACGTGATGAGATCTGGATTTTTATAACTAATCTACACAAAAATTGTACACATGTAAAATCGATAAATCGGCCATTTATTTTATATTATCAAGTACTTTAAACAACCAATTGCTGCGTCCGATTTATGCATGTTTTTAATCTCAAAAAAAAAAAAAAAAAAAAAACTATCTAAAAAATTATAGTTTGTACGATGGCAGATTTGGTAGTAGAATATCCTAATACTAAGGATTTTACAATCCAAGCTCTAAATGGGAGATATATTTTAATGGAAAATAATATATACAGAAGGGTCAACACAAAATTTTAAAAATTATAAAATTTGTTATATATATAATTCATAAAACGATTTCTATTGTCTAATGGAGCTTTACATAAATTATAGTAGAATACAGAATATCTGCTGCACCACACACAAGTTTTTCTCACGCTTATTCAGGGAGATGCCCACCAAGCTTAACCTTCCTATCGGTAAAGCAAGGTTATTTGTTGCGATATAGATCGTTCTATTACAATTATTTACAGATTTACTTCTTGATGTACTTTTACTAATATTAGATTCATCTTTTTCACCCAAACCAGACTCAAATAGATCCCAAGCTAAATTCACTCTAAAATTCTTGTGACCCAAATTTTTGTCACAGTTTTTATATATTAAATAACAATTGACGATTGTGATGTTTAAGAACATTAGCACCCAATTTCTTCTAGCTGTCAATTTAATAGCATAAGAACCACATAGTTGGTCAGTGATATCTACATCACTCATGATTATTGTAATCATCTGTAACTTTAGGATGGGCAAGGTTTTTTACTGCATCTCCAAATATTTGTTTAACTTTGGTTACATTGGCACTTGTAGTTTTTAGGCAACGACGTTATTTATCTATTCTATTTTCTGGACCAGCAATCTCATAAATCATAAACAATATTGTGTCTCGATCTAATCTTTTACCAGTTTTCGGAATATTTGGAAATTTGGATGTATTTTTATGCGCCAAATTTTTTTCACGTAAACTTATACTACCAAAATAGTTGTCCATATAAATGTTAAAAGATTTGATCCTGGTATATCTTGAACAAATGATTCCTTTTTTGTTCTTGATGTGTATATAAAATAATATGTATACCCTGCATTGCACATTGCACGCAAATACTTATACCTTTCGGGAAGTCTTTTATATACCACAAAATCTAATAATCATCTCATTGTTTGATAAATTCAAAGAAGGAAGATAATACTTTGTGCGACTATTTAAAATACATGACGCAAGCGAGTATTTTCTTGAATGTTGGATCCGAGACATGAAAAAATCTTTTTATTTGCTCAAATTTGGCTAAAGACATGTAATTGGTAATTTTATGTGATGGATATTTATCAGGCGTTTCCCCATCTGATTTTAAGATTAATATATTCAGGAATTTTTTTCATTAGCATAGTGAAGTTTGCTGTTACACGAAATGTTATACAGAACCCATTGCTCCTGAAACTTCACCAGTATATAGTTGTTACCTCTCTAAATTGGAGATCAAAGTTCAGATCCAATTCAAATCTAGTCTATTGCCAGAATGTTTGCCGTGATAAAAAATTAGTGTAATATTGCAAATTTACATTATGCTGCATAAAAGATTCGTGTTACACGAATAGTATTGAGAATATCAATCAACATTAAAATATAAACTAATACTAAACAATGAATATCAATTTCCGAATGCAATACTATTCTAGATTCATGTAAAGAACTTTCATGTGCAAATTTATTAAGATCAACTACTATCATTCCTTCTGCCTCTTCCTTTTTCTCCAACTTCTCTAATTTGATTTTCATTTATATCCTCACTATTTGGTTTTCTCCTTTCTGACGATTATTATCGTTGTTTTCTTCAATATTATCATCATCATTTATTTAATTATCATTAAATATAGTCGATAATATGGGATACAAAGTGAACATTATACTACAAAGGATTTCAGGGATCAAATTTAGCAAATTATTTAAAATCTCAGGGACATCAGCCATACCGTTTGCAGACTTAATAAGAGTAGTATATGAAATACGGTTTGTATATTTATTTATATCCATTGTATATACCTTTATGGTAAATTTATAGTTTGTTTTTAATTTTTCGGAGTTATCGACTTTCAAGTCATTAATTAAAAAGAGAAATTCCTGATGAACTTCACAAGAATTGTTACTTCTTCATGTAGTAGCAAGATCATATTTAAGGATAGGGGCTAGTGTAACATACATATGAATTTCATGGTCAAAATTTATGTGAATTGCAATTCACATATGTCCACCAGCAAAAAAAGGGGTCTGAGACTATTAAATTGTTCGGTGTAAACAAAATGGTTACACTTATGTTTTTGATATGTAAAGCTAACCTTCCTTATGTCTCTTTATTGTATTAGGTAAACGTGGTTTCCCATTATAATACTTATGATATAGATATACATTATGCAAAAAACTCAATTTTGGCCAAGGGTCCTCAGTCCACCATATTGCTGGTGGACATCCCCATATGTGAAATTCAAATTAACCAATCAGAATTTCATATCCAAACTATAAATTTCAATTAAATTAGAAATAATGGTAATGGTAATGGTTTGATTTTGGCTATTATTAAAAAATAATTTGGGCAGTAACGAAAAATGAGACGAATAAACAAATTATTAAAGAAAC